ATCTAATGCGGAGCTGGAAAATATTTCAGAAAGTGCCAGCATGACCAATGAATCTATGGACCTCGGGGATCAAGTTACTGATGCAATGTTCATTAAGAGCCCCAACAATGGTTCTGATGGGCCTCAGAGTAGCAATTCCAAGCGGATTCCTAATGATGAGAAAAAAGAATCTGGAAATGGAAACACTCATGGAAATCCGGATCTCAATGTTGGTGATGCAAGCAGAATGCCTTTCGTCCGTTTGTATTTTCTTTTTATATTTTTGTTGCATTTCAGTTGCTTATTTGCGTGGCTGATAGGAAACAACCAGGGAATTTTTCTTGAGTTCTGTAAATATGGTTTGCCTATTTCTTGATTCAATTTTGAATGGATAAATGCCTCAATTGGCTTGGAGCAAATTTATCTATCTAGCATTGTAATGCTGGCTATAACCTTAGCACCGTAAGATATATTAAGTCCATAGAGCAGAGAATGAGTAATTGAGGTGAGAGGTTTACAACATGCATCGTGGAAGCTGTTTAGTTTTCTAAATCAGTGTTATTCTCGATTAGTAGTTTAGATCAAATTATTTCTTGAAAAAGACAAAACGTCTTGTCTGATCCCTTTCAGTTTCATTTTTTGGTAGTCTTTGTTATGCTGTTTTTCTGCTGGGAGCAATATCCAGATGAGACTTTTCTGTGCTCCAGAAGCAACCCTTAATCATCTTTCAAATCATCTCCTGTTATCCCTTAGTTGATGCATGTGAAAGAGCAGAAGCATTCTTTCTGTGCCTCTTGATCCCAATTCCATATGTCAAGGGGCATTTAAATGATGAGAATTGCTTTTTAAAGTAAAGTTGATGTACTTGAATTCTATTCAATTAGTCATTATTTTTCGACTTGCTTGAAAATTTAGCTGAGGTTAATCGTGGAAGTTGCTTTCCAGTCATATGCTACATGTGGTGTAATGATCTTTATATGGATGTTACTTGTCCAAGCAACTTCTCTCATGAAGAGTTATATGTGTTGGTGCTCGGGTGGCCTGCTACCATGATGAAATTAAAGTCTCTCTCCCTGCAGTTTGGACACCATTGCATCACCTTATATTCACTTTCTTCCATGTTGATCTTCAAATGAAATTAGAAGCTCCAAAACCAGTGAGTTCAATGAGATCCCTTTTTCTTTTCCTTCCATTTGAAATAATACAAAATCATCTGAACCTCGTCTTAGTGGTTGTATACTCGTTGGTTAGTGATTTGGCCTGTTTCGCACTCCTTTCATTCTATCTTTTATTGCAATCCTAAGTAGTTCTGTTCTTTTACTTGGCAGGTAGTAATTGGATATGCAGCACTTCCATTATCCACCCATGCACAGTATGGAACTGCCTTTGTGTTTGTCATCTTTTGTTTTGTTTCTTTCCTTGATGATGTATTAACTTACATTATTTGTTCTGCTACTGGAGTGATTGGTATGGTAGTTCATGGTATTGGAAATAAACAGGGGGCAGAAATATAATCACCTATTTGGTATTGTAGTGGTTTGTTAAGTTACTGTTATAATTTCAATTGTCAGGTTACTTTCAATTGGTAATGAGACTAATAATCATCTGTACCAGATAATTGCTTTTATTGCCCATCCCCTAAAATTTAATAAAATAAAAATAAAACACCAGCAACTTTTTGTCATAAAGAAACTGAGAAACCAGATATTATATCATTTTTCTAGTCTGTATTAGGTCCTAGCCTTCTTTGATGCCAACTAAATGCCATAACAGTATATTTTCTAGTAATTTAGACATGACTTTTTCTCATGCTTTTGTTATCTGCATCATTCCGTTTTTTTCCTCTTACATCATTCAATGATTTCACCCTGTTGAACTACGTTTTGTACTCAGGTTGCATGTGATCAGAAATTTCTCTACAGATTATGAAAAAACTGGTTTCACAGTATCTTCAAGAAAATGAAAAGGTATTTTTATTTTGACATGTGTTAACCTTTGGTCACAAGAAAAAATTAATTTGTTTGAACTTTTTTACATTGTAAATTGTAAAATGATATTCACACCTATTACGTAACTAATTCTTTTTCATTGTGTTTAAGATTCCGATTTTTCAAAGATTTGTTATAAATAAAACTAGCCTAGCTTCATTATCACATAGATGGTTACATTTTACTGTGTGATTATTTATTAATCCATATCTTTTAATTGTAGGAGAGGTTGGATTATTTGGAAGATGGAAAAACTATTTTTAAATTGCGATTAAGGCTTTGCTCATCTTTATACCCAATTAACGAGCGCATACGGGATTTTTTTCTTGAATATGATGGACACACTCTCCGAACAAGCTCTCCCTGGGGTCCTGTCTTTTCAGTTGTCTTGGTTAAATCTATTATTAGTATTCATAATCTCTTTAGTTTTGGTGCTTTGTAATTTTCAAGTCAACTGAAATTATTCTATGGTTGTGCTTGAATTGATTTAAACATTCCCCAAATCTAGTTTTCTTAATTGGTTATACAGCATGTCAATTTTACAAATGCAAAACACTATGTCATGAATTGGAGTGTTTTCCGTATGGTTAGTATTTTTCAAACCGTAATATACCTCGGTGACTAGATCTCTAGGTAGATTATACAATCAAAGTAGTATTAGGGTCTGACTTTAGTTAGGTTTTTAGAGTTCCACCATAAAAAGACACACCTGCCGACTCTGATGTTGGGTTTGAACTTGGAATTACGCCTCTAATATATTTTAGGTAACCATTGATTACAAGCATTGAGCCGCTAACTAATCATTCATCAATCTTGACTGGTCCAAGTCCATCAAATCGTCATGCACTGCATGTATAATAAAATTGACAAAACTTGGATTTTTTATGGGCTGTGATTTTTACTTTTAATATGTATATATATATATATATAAATTTAAAAATAATATATATTTATTTAGGTTTAGAGTTTAGGTCACAAGTTAAAAATATTATTTTATCATAAATATATAAAAAATATAAAAATTGAATATTAATCTTAGTATTAATTTTAAGTTGATGAATTTAATTAAACAATTAATAAAGGTCAATTTTTATTTTTTCATATAAATCAAATAATTTA